AAACCCGAAACCTTAAACCCGAAACTCGAAACCCTAAACCGTGAAGCTACTTTTTCGCATCGGCAGGCTCGCGCGGCAAAGACGCTAGAGGCCGGCCTGTGAGCTGCTTCCTCGGGTGGGTTTCGGGTTTAGGGTTTAGGGTTTAGGGTTTAGGGTCGAGGGTTTAGGGTTTAGGGTTTAGAGCATTTGGGATATGGAGCTTGGGGTTCAGGGTTTAGGGTTTAGGGGTCTAGGGGTTTAGGGGTTTAGGGGTTTAGCGTTTAGGGTTTAGGGGTTTAGGGTTTAGGGTTTAGGGTTGCCTCGTTCACCATGGTCATCGGACATCTCACTCTGCAGGAAGTCGGCGCTCGCATCCTGCTTTCCTTGCAACGTCAGGCTGGACTTGGGACCCTAAAATCCTAAAACCCTGGACTTGCATCACCGCAGGGCCGGACGGTGGACGAGCTTTTCACAGGCTTGAGCACCAAGGCCCGAGTTTTTTCTGCCGATTCCCTGGGATTCGACGCCTCGATGGCCCGAGGAGCACGGCGGCGAGGAGCTTCGCCGGGCCGACTTTGACAGACTGTTCAGAGCCTTCCAGCCCGTTCCTCGGTCCTTTGGGTCGAAGCACACCGATGGACTAGAATGGACTACTTGGAGGATCATGGGACTTAGCAAGTAGGGTTATAACTAAGGTAACTATACGTATAACCCCAACTAGGGGACTTATAACCTTACTTACTAAGCCCCATGATCCTCCAAGTATGAACAGATCAGGCCAGACCTGCCGGAGTGGCAGCTACAGCTGCCCGCACCTCGGGGTAGAGCGTTCCTGCAAGCGGTCGCGACAGCAGCCACTCCCACCGACCTTTCGAAGCACCTTGTAAAAGGGCAGCTTCCATGGGGCTGTCTGTGTGCTGAAAAGGCTGTGGCTTGCCTTCGATACCAATGCCGATGATCGCATTTCCCGCCAGGACTTGTTTCAGTGGCGATCTGCTACGTGCATCTGACACCCTAAGCCCCAAGCTCTGGGAACAGCTCGCAGGAGTTCGGGAAGAAGATGGCGGAGTTGGATGGTTTCAGCAAGGCCACACTGGCTAACGTTTAGGGCTGGGGCCGCAAACCCTAAACTTCGGGTTTAGGGTTTCGAAGTCGAGGGTTTAGGGTTTAGGGTTTAGGGCCGTAACACAAACCCTAAACCCTGAAGGCTAATCCTAGAGAAAGGCCCTCAACTCGAAGAGGCCGGCAGAGTTGGGGTTTACATCTTTTCCTCTCGCCTCAGAGTCGGAAGCTTCGGTTGAGGCCTTCTGACATGCAGCACCGTATATATTGTGTGATACCATAGCACCTTATGTATACAGTTTCAGAAATACCATCAACCGTTATGATACATAATGATGTACTGTGATCCTAAACCCTAAACCCTAAACCCTACTATAAGGGTGACCTCTTTGAGCTCTGTGGACCTTCTAGGTTTGGGGTTTAGGGTGTAGGCTACGAGGGTTTCGCCTTAAAGATTTGGGGTTCAGGGTTGCTAATCCCCTTTTTTTCTTGCCAAGTCCCGTCTGATTGCAGCAGCAGCAGCAAGGATGTTCAGCAGCAGCAGCAGCAGCAGCAGCAGCAGCAGCAGCAGCAGCAGCAGCGGCAGCAACCACCGCCATTCCCACGACGACAAGTTACATGGGAGAAACCATCACCCCTTTCTCCACAACATCGATTCCCAAAGCATCACATGATTTGGATTCCAGAGGAAACCCAAACTCAAACCCTCAGAGCCCCAACGCCAGCTCGACGGCAAGGTGTGTGTATCTATGTATGTATGTATGTATGTAAAGCAAGGCTTTCGGGCTCTCTGGGCTCTCTGGGCTCTCTGGGATCTCTGGGCTGAGGAATCTGGATAGACTGGGGGCTCACGCTAGATGAACGGATTGATCAGTACAGGTGGGTATACTCTGGGTTTGTGGTCTTCTACTCTGTTTGTTAAGGGTGCATCTTTGTTAATGCAATGTACTCCCTATCGGTTGCAGCAGCAAGTCAGGTCAAGGGTTTCAGGGGTTTTGGGTTCGGGAGTATGGCATGAAAGTAGCTACAGCGTCATGCGCATACGGCGCAAGGCTGGAAGCGCGCGAATGACCAATGCTCATGTTCAAACTGAAAATTATCTGGAAAGAGGATCTAGACATCGGAAAAAACCGGGTGATCGACGTTCATCCTCTGCTCAGGAATTGCTGGATCAGGCGGCGCGGAGGAAGGCGGCGCTGGAAGCGAAGAGGCTTGAGCTGCAACAGGAGGCCTGCAGAGGTACAGTTCGGCCGTATTAAGGGCTTAGGGGTGCAATTGGCCCTGGAATATGTATAATGCCGCGGGGTAGCCTATAACTTTCCTGTCTTCTTGTTAAGAACCGACGGTTTTGAGGGACAGCCTAGAACGATAAGTCGCTTTTCTGTGCGAACCTACTATATTTCGCGGTTTGGGGGCTACAGGTAGGGTCGGGAAAGCAGGCTTGTCTTTATACTTCGGAATGTCTGATTTCGTTGGGGGCTTCTAATAAGGGTCCTGCAAGGGTTTAGGGTTTAGGGTTTAAGGCTTTGAATGTCAGGGTCTCTACTTGTCGGCACTCCCCAATAAGGAAGGTAAATTCTTACATGCTTGCTGTCCAGGCCGAGGCAAAGGAAAACGCCGAAGCAGCCGCCCTCAAGGCCCAAAACGTTTCGTGAACCTACAACCCTAAACCCTAAACCCTAAACCAACGGTGCCGTTTTGGCTTCGTTTCAATTCTCCGGCTCGATTCACAATTTCGGTTCGGGTTCATCGGTTCGCTGTTCGGTTCTTCCGCTTATATGCTGGAATGTATGGTCCGCCAAAATTAATTAACCATATATTATCACGCTACAGTCCGCATAGCAGAATACCCTAATATACGGGATGGGTTTAGAAGGACAGTTCACCTGAACCCAACACCTTAAACCCGATAGGCAGTGTTTTCCATGTGGCAGGTCATAAAGATTTGTTCCGAGGCTCTGTGCAGAACATACTGTGGAAAAAGAGCCTCCAAACAAAACCGCAAGCCCTGAAACCCTGACCCCTGAACCGAAGGGTTCTATTGGGTTGCTTGCGGTTTGACAATGACAAGGGTTCCGTCTACGGGGTTTTCGGGTTTAGGCTTTTGGGGTTTAGGGTTTCGGGTTCAAGGGTTAGGGTTCATAGACTGTTTAGGGGTGATTTCTGGTGTGTTTGTTCAGGGTGTCTTCGGCTGGTTCAGGGTATCTTCAGGTGTTTGTAGGGTTGTTCAGGCTTTAAACAGGTGTCTTGATTTGTCTAAAGGGCTTCATCGTGTTTCTGTTCTTCGACTTTTCCGGTTTCGTAGGGATGTATCTTGGTGCTCGGGTGCTCCCCGCTTGTTCTACGGTGTAGTACCTGTAGCATTTCGGCTCTACTTTTTGACTCAGGGTGTCGTGTCCGTAGACCCTAAACCCTAAATCCTAAATCCTAAACCCTAAAGCCTAAACGTCCCTAAACCCTAAAGCCTAAATCCTAAACCCTAAAGCCTAAACCCTAAACCTCCTCTAGACTGTCCTGCAGGATTCCCTCAGCGTCACCAGGTTTCCAGTTCTTTGTGTTTTGCTTACCCTAAACCCTCCGGGCCACCCCAGACCTACATCCCCTAATCCCTGAAACCCTGGGAATTAATTTTGGGGCCTTAAAAAAACAATACTATTTTGGGGGTTCCTTTGGGGGTTCCTTATGAATCATCTACCCCCAAAACCTTATTCTAATTATTAAGGCCGCTACAGTATGGGCATTTGTTTGTGGATTTGCTATGCTTTGCGTTTCTCAGGAACCTCGGGAGGGTTCCGGGTGAGTTTTTTTTGTCTCTTCGGGTGTAGTGTTCGGGGTCACTGGTTGTGGTTCTTCATCATGGCTCTTTATGCACTCAGGTTTAAGGATCTGGGGAAGTCCAGCAGGTTCGGGGAGTGAGGGCTTTTGGGTTATATTTGGGGGTCCCGGGGTTTAGGCTTTTGGGTCTATTTGGGTCTGAACGTTGACCAGAACCCTGAGTTGCTAAAAGCCTTATGGTGCAAAGTCCGTGCGCCCTTCCTAAACCCTAAACCCTGAACTGACATGTGTTAGGGTTTTAGCGCTTTGGTGTCTCAGAGTTTAGGGCTTTAGGGTTTGGAGCTTGAGGGCTTTGGGTTTGGTCATTTCGGGTTTAGGGCTTTAGGGTTTAGAGCTTGAGCATTTGGGGTTTGGTCATTTAGGGTTTAGGGTTTCGGGTTTAGAGCTTGAGGGTTTGGGGTTTAGCCATTTAGGGTTGAGGGCTTTAGGGTTTAGAGCTTGAGGGCTTGGGGTTTGGTCAATTAGGGTTTAGGGCTTAAGGGTTTAGAGCTTGAGGGTTTGGGGTTTGGTCATTTAGGGTTTGGGGTTTAGGGTTTAGAGCTTGAGGGTTTGGGGTTTAGCCATTTGAGCTTGAGGGTTTGGGGTTTGGTCATTTAGGGTTTAGGGTTTAGGGTTTAGAGCTTGAGGGCTTGGGGTTTGGTCATTTAGGGTTTAGGGCTTTAGGGTTCAGAGGTTGAGCGTTTTGGGTTTGGTCATTTAGGGTTTAGGGTTTTAGGGTTCAGAGGTTGAGGGTTTGGGGTTTAGCCATTTGGGGTCCTCAATGAGGGTTTGGGGTTTGATTTAGGGTTTAGGGTTTAGGGTTCAGAGGTTGCGGGTTTGGGGTTTAGCCATTTAGTGTTTAGGGCTTTCGGGTTTAGAGCTTGACGGTTTGGGGTTTCGTTGCTCCATGCATGCTTCATTGACCGTTACAGCTGCACAGGCTGGCGTCTCCGACGGCTCCTTGCCACCGGGCTAGGAGAAGTATGTTGATCCATCGACCAACAAAACGCGCAGCTGACACGTTTGTGTCAGACGAGTAGTATAGGGGCCTTAATATTTAGAATAGGGTTGGGGGGTATATTATATACTATAATTATAATAAGGAACCCCCCAAAACCCAATTCTAATTATTAAGGAACGTACATTAATCTCCTGCAATTTCCTGCTCGTGCTAGAATTGACTCTCTGATTCATGGTTCTGGAAACCTGAGTGCTGTGTCTTGCTGTCGGTCGTGTCGGAAGATTTGGAGTACCGGACGACTACTTCAACTTTCCACAAAAGTATTATTTACGCGTGGCCCGCGGCCACACGGCCACGCAGCTGCGGCCAAGCGGCCACGCGGCCACGCGGCCCGCGGCAGCATTACCACCAAGAGCAACAACAACATCACCAGGAGCATCAGCAGCACCACTACCGACAACAACAACAGCAGGGTTTGCGGAGCAGCTTTTTCGCAGGCTTTGGGTCGACTTTTGGGTCGACCAACATCTCCGTTGAGGGTTTGGGGTTTCCCAGCGATTACTTTTGTGCAAGGTTTCAGCATCTCCTCTTGGGGTTTGGGGTTTGTCAATAGCAGCTTCTTTGCAGGCTTTGGGTCAACCAAAATCCCCTTTCAGGGTTTGGGGTTTCCCAACCCTTCAATTTGTTCAGGGTTTCAGCATCTCCTTTTAGGTTTGGGGCTTCCCAGCCATGCAATTTGTCTAGGGTTTCAGCATCTCCTTTTAGGGTTTGGGGCTTGTCAAAAGCAGCTTCTTTGCAGTCTTTAGGTAAACCTACATCTCCGTTTAGGGTTTGCGGTTTCCCAACCATTCCCTTCGTTTCGGGTTTCAGCATGTCCTTATAGCGTTGGGAGTTCAGCCTGATTAGCTTAACCCCAAACACTAAATCGTTGACCCTAAAGGGTACCGAGACCGAAATGATTCAGCCAGGTTCTACCACAACAAGTCGACCAGGCAGAGCCAATGGAACCCACCGACCATGTGGGGGTACTTTGGACTGGTCCGTTGGCGCTAGCCTGTTTGGGTTTCTTCGGCTGGCTACTGTCCTTCTCTCTTGCAAACAGATCATCCGGATGTGACTCCAACCACGGTTCCACAGGGCCTTGAACACTACACCTTATAAACACAATTTCCCAATGTGACTAACATGACTGGTTATGCAAGTTTCCATCTTATCAGGACTACTCAACAATGCATGATGCCCTAAACCCTAAACCCTAAACCCTAACCATTGATTTAAGATCTGGGAAGTATGGTTTCGTGGACCAGAAAGTATGTGTATCTCGTAACTTGGGCTCCCTTTGCGGGGGGGATCCTTGGAAAAAGAAACATAACTTAAGAACCCAAAACCTACTTTCTTGTAGGGTCCCTATAGGGCTTAGGGTTTAGGGTTTAGGGTTTAGGGTTTATTTAGGGTTTAGGTAGTAAGAACCTACAAAAAAGTGGGTTTTGGGTTCTTAAGGTACTGTTTACCGTTGAAGATTGCGCTCTCCTTTCTTCTTTGAGTGTGCGAAACTGCAAGAAGCCGAGGCATTGAACGCCGTCAATGAAGGTGAAGGCTGAGCCTTTTGCGGAGGCCGGGTGTTGGATGCAGGGTTGTGTTTATAAGGCTTTGGACGACCCGCTGAGCTGAACCAGAGGTTTTCAGCACAAAGTAGTTTGCACCAGCTGAAAACCGTTTGAGGTTTAGGGCATGCCTGGTGCACCTCGCAACAGATGCTGAAGTGGGACAGGCTGTGCTCGGTCGAAGCTTGCCCTGAGAAAGCTTGAAATTGTTTCCCGGTCAGCGAGCTGTAATTAGCTCAGAGGCTTTCAGCTGATTGCCAATTTCAGTATCTTGACCCATGCGCTTGCTGCTTCGAGCCGATCTCCCAACGACGACACAGTTCTAAGAGACATGCCACTAGCAACCAGCCCCGAACACCAATAAACCCTGAACCCTTGGACCCCGAACCCTAAGGCCCTAAATCCGAAACCCTACGGCCCTAAACCACTAAACCCAAGGCCCGAAACCCTAAACCCGAAGGCCCTAAACCCTAAACCCTAAAAACCCCTAAAACCCCTAAACCCCTAAACCCTAAACTTTAAGGCCCTAAACCCTAATCCCTAAAACCCCTAAGACCGCTTCCGTCGATGACGCCCGCTCAGTGTAATCAAATGCCAACATCCTTGTTGACACGTTTTAGGGTTTAGGGTTTAGGGTTTAGGGGGCTTCAGGGTTTAGGGTTCAGGGTTTCGGGTTTAGGGTTCAGGGTTTAGGGTTTAGGGCTTCAGGGTTTAGGGTTCAGGGTTTAGGGCTTCACCGTCGTCTTTTCCAGACGTTGCATACGGTCATGACTAGATGTCAAATTCCTACTAACATCACTGTGAGTCGTCAGTTGCATGCCGATGATGCTGTGACTGCTATGGATCTCACTTGTTTATTGTCTCGCTTCCACAGTCAGAGCGAGAGAGAGAGCGAGAGAGAGAGAGAGAGAGAGAGAGAGAACAAGAGAGAGATACAGAAGAGACCCCTTTTCCGGGGAGGGGGGAGCCGACGCCTGTGGGTCTGGCGACGGTCAGACTCTTTCCCTCGAAAAGCGTGGGAAGGTCAGTGTGGGAGCACTTGCGCCTTGAAGTGAAGAAACCTGAAGCGGTGCCACGGCGAGCAAAGGGGGGGGGTGAGCGAGCAGGCTCGCGAGCAATAGTGATTCAATAGTGAAGTTAAAGAACAGTGAGCAAAGGAAGGAATGAGTGAGCGAGTGAGTGAGTGACCGACTTAATGAGTGAACTGGCAAGCATGCTGCCTTTGAAGCTGCACTTGTTGCGGTGCTACAGATGCCGGAAAGTCGTGGGTCTTGTGTCACAGGCTCGTGCCGCTGCCGCGCGAGGGGGCCGCGAAGTATACTCTTAGGTCAAGAAGCAGTTGCTCTTGGTAGAGTCACAGTATCCTGTATATGGGCAGTTCTCTAAATTAGGGTCCCCTTGTTAGGTCCCCAAAATAGTACGGCACCCTTACAAAAAGGACCCGAAAAAGGTGCGCTATGTGTAGAGAACTACCCATATGGCAGCCTCAGAGCCCCTCCACGAAGTGGAGCCGGGGCTCTTTTTCGTTTTCCCGGTACTCCTAGCCCCGAGCTATACCCTAGTCATAACTGCCCCCAGTGGCAGTCGAAATGCCATCTCCGCAAAGTGGAGCGGTCGCCCTCTTGGTGCGAGCCTGAGGCCACATCACCCCTAAACCCTAAACCCTAAACCCTAAACCCACTTGAGCTGTGCAGAATGCACTGCTTCGTGGAGCTCGGTGTGGAGTGAATCGCAGCATCCTGCCGGAAAACCAGGATCGCAGCAGGAGGGACAGGGCACCCTGAACCCTAAACCCCTAA